AAAAATCGATAAAAATGAAAAAAAAAGTCAAAAATTTTGCGAAAATATTTATTGTTGGGTTACGGTAGCACTCGTTTGCCGGCTGTGTTTTCGAAAATTCTCCTTGAAATACGGTGGCCTAACTTGTGTGAAAATTCGGCCACAACTCCAATTTTTTTGCACAAAAATAATAGTACGAGACTTGAAAATTTAGAATCGTCAACTTTGAGCTCATATATCTCCTTTCCTGTGAAAGGTATCAAAGAGAAGTCAACTGACAAAATGTTCACCATAACATCAAAAGTATTTTATCAGTTAACCACTTTTTGATATCTGTCACGGTATTCTATATAAATTGGATCAAAGTTAAAAGTTAGGTGTCGTTCCATTTGTGTAGTACATTTGTTTAACTTTGAAATTGGAAAATTTCTTACAAGAAATATACTTTGCGAACATTTTTGAAACATAATTTTCTTTTAAAAAGTGTAAACAAAGTATGACGATTTTTTTTCTTTTTTTGGGACCATGCTCTTTTTTAAGTGCCTCCTCCCCCACTAATCTCTGTTTATATACTTCTTTGTTTTTTTTTCTTCTAGAATGATCAGTGAAATGTTTCATATTTTAGACATCATCTTGATGGAAATCACTTTCTGAACATAACTTTGTCACAGATGACTTTTTGAAAAATGTCAAAAAGAAGAAGGTTCAGGAAAAAATTTTTAATACAAAAAGCTTGATATTGGCTTGCTAGGCAACAATTACAACTCAGAAAAAGGACTACCGTAAAACCTGTATTAGAAGGGCCCCTTTAATAGAAAAGCCCCTCTAATAGAAGGGACTTCCAAAAGGGGTTTAGAAAACTGGAAGGGTAGAAGGGCTCCCTGTAAAGAAGGGCCCCTCCAAAATGGGTCTTGAAATTGAAATATTTCAGTACGTTTTCAGTGAAAAATTATCCGGGAATTCCACAATTTGATAAAAACTTGTTGAAACACTTTTTTTCATAAAAAACTTGCTTAGTTTTGGTGGAATTGGCAAAATTTCGTGAATTTTGAACGAAAATTCGTCAAACTTTTCAATGAAAAATTTTGGGAAAGTGGCCGGAAAAATAGAATAGCCCCTCTAATTGAAGAGCCCCTGTAATAGAATGTAATAAATATTTCTGCTTCCTCTCTCAAAAATCTATATATTTATTTATGTGTTTTTTGGTCCATGTCAGCCTATTTTTGCTAGTTTCCTTTTTCCAGAATGAATGGCTCAACTATAAATCATGTTTGTTTGGGCCGAAAAATATTTTTTGAGAAAAGAATGAAAAAATGTTGGGGACCAAGAAAAAAAATAAATGAGAAAAGATTAGTTAGGATTTTTGAAAAAAAATTCGGAAAAGGAGAAGAAAAATGCCCTTTTCGATATTCAGTTTGTCAGAAAATGACACAAAAATTGTTAGTTGTGCTACAGACAAAAACTTTTTTCGGTTTTTTAAAAACACTTTCTTTGTCTTAATTTATTATAGATGGTTTTGTTGTGAAGGATCAAAAGGAAAAACGAAAAAAAAGAGCAAAAAAAGTATCCCAAAACTTCAAAAAGTGTGTAAGTGTGCAATGAAATATTCAAAAAAAGATCAGAAAGCCGAAGAACCCAATACCTGGAATAACGATGTCATAAAAAGGAAAAAGATGCATAAAATGTTTTTGAAAGCTAAAAGACCACAAAACAAAGGAAATAGTGGGCGGTAAATACGGAATAGGCATCTAGGATTTTTCGGAATTTCAGAATCAGAATTCCAAAAACCTACCAATCTCAGGCTCTCAATGCTTGAAACTATGAAAAGAATCTTCAGAATTCAGCAAATTCAAATTTTCCGAACCTGAGTATTTCATAATCTCAAAACTTCAACATTTAGGAATCTTGGAATATTGAAGGATCATTGATCTTGAACGATTCAATAAAAATGATGAATCTCGGCTCTAAACAGTTTGCAAAAAATCAAACATGAGTTATCAAAAACGACAGTTCCAGTCGGAAAAATTGGAAAAGAGAAGAGAATGAAATTGATAACAGAAACTGGAAAAAGAGGGAAAATACCGACTGACCGACTCATAATTGGATTATTTTTTGATTTCTTCACTTTTTACCCGATTAAGCAAAAAAAGTAGGAGTGCTGACAAAACAAAACTTTGAATTTTTGACCGGAGGGAGCTGTGATGATTAAAAATTTGTTTACATCTAAAAATTTAATTGCTTACTTTGGAACAAGTCGTCTAAATTTGAAATGATTTGATTTTTCGGAAGGATGTTAACTTTTGATGGAAAATCTAAAACAACTTGGTTTTTTTGAAATATTCTTCAGAAGGGATTGTTAAATTCCAGTTTAAAATTATAGAGATTTAATATCTGCTTCATTTTAGAATTTCTGAATAGTTTGGGGTTGAAAACCCTCTGATTGAAAACCTCTGAAAAATCCTTCAGAAAGACACAGACACTCAACCTTTTCTATTTTTTCTTTGTACTTCTAAGTTTTAGAAATGCTAAAAATTTTTTGAAAACGAGTTTCAGAGTCTTTCAGTTCATAATAAATTTTAACTTTAGACGCTGTCAGTGTTCAAAAAGGAAATTGAAATTTTTCAAGTTTCGAAGTTTTCGTAATTTGGAAAAGTGTTCAGTTCCTCCTTTGCGCAAAATGAACAACAAAAAAGAAGCAAAAAATAACAACTTTTTTCGTCTATTATTCTTCACATCTACCTATTTTCGACAATGGAACTTTTTTGTGAGGAACGACAGAAAAAATAATAAATGGATAGACAGGTGTCCAAAATTGAATCATGCTCTGTTATAGAAAACATATTTTTCAGAGGTTTTTGATGCTCGAAAAAAGCAAAAGTTATAGGCAAAAACAAGCTAATTAGCCAATTACCCAAAAGATCGAAAACCCAAAGAATCAAGTTTCAGGGAACTTATAAAAATTTCCTCAAACATTACTGAATTTAAAAAAATGTGAAAATCAGAAACTGTGAGCCAAGAACCTTACACTTAGAATCTCAGAATGAAGACAAACACTATTCTCTACAGAATATTTGGAAGAAAAATGAGAAGAAAGGGGCGGAGAGAAACATGATGATGACATTTACTCCCTAATTTGAAAAGGGGACTATTTTAAGAAAGGGAAAAATGAGTAGTTTAGAAGACGAAGAAGCAAAATAAGACAGATTTAGAACAAATCGGCAAGATGGATGACCAAATGAAAGGTGTCAAAATTCAGTTTTCGCAGAGGAAAAGGATGGGAATCGAACGAAAAATCTTCCTTATATATAAAACGCTAGACGTGTCTGTTGGTCCTAGTGTCCGGCTGTCCGGTTTCAAATAAGAATTAGGCCGCTGCCTTTCAAATTAGTGTCCAAAAAATGGAAGAGTGGACGCAATCGCGCCGTAGGCGCACCAGCCAGAAGGGCGCGATGCAACCTTGTTTTTACTCTTTTTTTATTCACGTAACGCAATAAATAAATGAATCAATCAATTTGAGGTCACGCCTTCTGTCCACGTTTAAACGATATTCCACGTATTGAAAAAAAAGCTCTTTGGGAAATCACTCTCTTTGAATTAGTTTGATAATTTTCACTAGCACTTTTTGACTGCCCTGAAGCTCCCTGCGTAAGCTGTTTATTGCTGTTCATTTACTTTTTTCTTTCGATTGGTTGGATGCGAATAAAGTACTAAAAGGCCCCAAGGGTGGCCATGTTTGGTGATTCATGGCTAGGTGAAATCATTTTCACTGAACGTTCCCCCTTTTGCAGAAGAGTCAATCAAAGAAAAAAGAAACAAATGAATAAAAACAATAAACAGCGATCGCATAGCTTTTTAGAAGTGAAAAAGAACTATTGAAAATTAAAAAACTGTATTTTCGGAGACCGGCGTTTTGAACTTTGCATTCACAGAATTTTTTGAAAATTCCTGATTTTTCAGCTATATACCGATTTCTAAAAAGCATCTCTTTTTGGTCAGTTTTTTGCTGAAAAAGTGAAAAAACAGGTGTCTTCCAGAAATCGGGAACTGCAAACGTGTATTACCAAAAAATATGTGACAACCTACATTATCAATTGAAAAGGGGATTTGTAGATTGGACAACGTCACAAAACCCGTCGGAATCAATTTTCAGAATACACATAAGCGAACTCTTAAAACGTTTTAATTGTGTAGAATGTTCCCTGGAAAAAAGTTCACAAAGAATAAATATCCACAGCAAAATGGCTAGTGAATAACATAGCACAAGAAAAATGCAAATGATGTGTCTAAAATCCTATATGATAGGTAATAATAATGACGAGAAATGAGTTTTGAGAATGTGAGCCGAAAGTTATAAAAAGCACAAAAAAAACAACTTTATGTATTCGTTCTGGTCCCTCGTGGGGTCCATATAGTCACGTTGTTGCACCCATCCTTTTCTTCCCGATGCACACCGCCTGTTTCTCTTCTAGGTCCCCCGTATATAATCTTATGCCTTTCTTTCTTTTTGTAATCCATCATCCTCCCGTTTTCTGTTTTTTTTTCGATTTCCTCCTTCCAAGGAAGGAAATCATCATTTTTTGCAGAGAATGATGAATGGATATTACCCTTTTCAGCGAGGATATATTATGAGTACCAGTCAAGAAAAAAAAGGAGATGAAGAAAAAAAATTTGGAAGAGTTGGGGGTAATAAAATGTTAAAAAAAGAAATTTTTGAGAATCTCGAAATTTCCAATTTTCAGATATTTAGATTTCTAGCACCTACGAGCTGAGAACCCAACCAGAAGTTCTATAAAGTTTGGAGATGTTTCGAATTCAAAAAAGGAAGATTGAGAGCTCGGCACATCGACAACATCCTTGCTCTGTCGGTTTGTCAAATAAACAAGCTATCAGAAAAAATTCCTTTGCCATAAGGTTATTAATAAACATTCAAAGTTTGAAGAATCTACAAACAAAAACTACCAAAACCCGGGAAAAAGCAGCTGACCACACAAAAAAAACCACCCAAGAATGTTCCTGACCAGAAAAATAGTCAGAAAATGTTTTGAGCATCCTCTTTTCTTCCATTTTCCGTTTCGAAAAAGGCTGGCGAAAAATGGAAAAGAAGAAGAAGAAGAAGATGGGGAAAAAAATGCAACCACCAAAAAAGAAACCGAACATTTGAAAAAGAGACATTTGAAAAAAAGAAGAAGAAAAAGAGAAAAATGAGTAGAATATTTTGGGGAAGAAGATGCTCGTCTTCTATGTTTTCATATGTTTTGTTTTGGATCAGAAAATGAGAGAAAATAAGACTATGAAAGTTTTGGACCCGTGTTTTCAGCATACGATGCCCAAGGCCCGGCCCGGTCTGGTCCGCTTACCAGCTATTTTTGATTTTTAGAGCCTTCAAAGTGATCGAATTAACTTCAGACTTTTAGTATAACAGATTTTTCGCAAGTTCTAAATGTTTGAATTTAAAAAAATTCCAAAAGGAAAAATTATAATAGTCTTTCCATTTCCTTTTTTTTCTACTATATATATACTAATACTTGTACAAAGTAACCAAAAAAAATGTGAGAAAACTTTTGTATGTATAAAACCCCCAAGAGATCAATCAAATCAATGTGTGAAATCGTTTTTCTTTCATAAAAAAACAAGAAAACAGAACCAGGAAGTTGAATAACAAATTGACTGATACATGAATAGCAAAAAATGAAAATGGAGAGTTTTTGTGTTTCTGACACTAAAAATGTGATTTTGAAAGGTTTTTAGAATACATGGCAAAATAGTAAGATAGAGATGATTCTCAATTGAATTTTTTAAAAGTTGAACTTGTTTCATTGTTCTTCAAGGATTTAGAAAAATAGTTGAAGGAAAAGTTTGTAAACAAAAATTTGAAAATCGTGCAGTAGATAAACCAAAAATAAAACGAAAAGTTTTGAAACTCTGATTTCTCGTCATCATCATCATTGGAGTGGTGTCTCTTTTCTCCTGTGTATGTTACCCCGTTTCCCCAGAAGGAAAATTTATGAGAACTAATTTGATCTACCATAAAAATTTTGGGTCTCGTAGGTCTTACAATTAATCACAACTTTAAAACTTTTTACTAAAACTTTAGATATAAAAGCAGCGAAAAGCGGAGCAACGAAATCGCGCCGTAGGCTCACCAGTCAGCTAATTGCAAGATTTGGAAAAAACTATCTATTTTTATACTCAAGTGTCTCTCATAAGCAAAAAAAGAGTGCATAGAAACTTTTCATTTTCTAGAACAATCGAAAATATTTCGTTTGAAACAAAAAAAAGTTGAAAGAAAGTGAAAACTAAAAGGAAATTGCTCTGGCAATAGAAGAAGGACACAAGAAAGGGAATTGGGGACATTTGAGAAAATAGAAGAAGAGAAAAGGGAATACAATTAAATTTGTCATAAATTAGACGACTTTTGGTGTAAATTTCCTTCGTTTTTCTTCTTAGACTTAACTCATTTTTCGAAAAGAAAGCTAGGACAGCTAATAAAATAAAATGACCGAACATGAGGCTTTTTGAAGCATTTTTTGTGTTAGATTTAGCCTATTATGGTGAAAGAGAAGTTCAAGACTCCACCTCGTTTTACATTTATTGAAAATTTCACAAAAAAAAATGTCTGCGAAATGGCTTCTACTCCGTAATTCGTCAAAATCTTCATATTTTTCGATCGTTCTTTCTTTCAACCCATTTTCTATACAACTCCCATCGTTAGTATTCAAATTCCCGCTCAAAGTATTCCCTAGTGGCCTAGAAAACGGAACACCGGCCACCGCAATTTTTTGTTTATTTTTCTCAATTTATAGACAAAAATTACATTTTTCAGTTTAAAAACTCTTATTTTTCAAGAATTTTCGTCTATTCTTTACTGAATAGAATAAAAAATTAATATTTTTCAGGTATGGCAACCAATGAAGACCGAGACAACGATGCGGCGGCAATTCTCAACTGGGAAGGAACAGTAAATATTTCGGATTTTCTGACAAAAAAATATCGAGAAAATTGTTTCAGAACGAAATAAAAAGTGCGAATGAATACAGTCGTGGTCTTTTGTTTTCGGTTCTTGATGCATTGGATGGGAATAAAACGATTGTTTGGGACCGAGACAGAAGTGTAATGCATAGAGTCAATTTGGTTAGTAGAATATGCCCAAAATTAACAATTTTGGCCTAAAAAAATAACATAAGAAATAAAATTGCCCAGAAATATCACTTTTCACTCAATAATCAGTTTCTTTATCAACTTTTCTCTCAATTTTCAGTTCGCCGGTGCTTCTGTTCTCGCTGCTCACGGAGTTGTCGCCAATCACTCGATTGAAACCAAAAAATCTGTGTCAACACCTCATGTCGTGTTCTTCTTGGCTCCAACAATGGTCTCATTGGATCTTCTTTGTGATTATATTGATACCGTTCGGAATGACCCGGTAAGCAAGGAAAAATAGAAGATAATTAATCAGAAATGACTACAAATCGCTTGGAACCTGTCAAAATATTCTGAAAATATCCTAAAACCGATTGAAAATAATTCTAGAAAGTCCTCTACCAAGTGTTCTTCATTCCCGAAGCATGGTACGTCGTCAGAGAGAGTCTAAAGCTGCGATCCGAAGGAAAGGTCCGTTTTTCCACCGCATACTCAACAAAATTCTGACTAATTACAGTACTGGGAACGTCTCGAATCTGTAAAGGAGATTCCATTGTGTTGGTTGCCACGTGATGGAGAATGTCTGTCGCTTTCCAGTCCACAAATCGCTTCAAGGTGAGAATTTTTTAAAGGTCAATTGATGAAGAATCGATTTTCAGGCTTCTTATCAACGGTGACTGGACACACCTTCACAAATGTGCGGTGGCTTTGAATCAGTTAGTTGATATGTGCCGTGGACATTCTCCATCAACTCATCAGAGACCCATGGCGATTTATTCGAAAGGAAAATGGGCAACTGACGTGGCAAGAATGATGAAGAAGGTATGAAGCTAACTGCGACTGAAAATAGTCTAGTATTTTCAGGTTCGAAACACCACAGAAGCCGATCACTTTCTGAAGACGACAGATCCCATTGAAGGACTTTTAAAAATCAATCGAATCGTCCTAATTGATCGATGGCTGGATCCTCTGACCCCAATGCTCTCTCAATTGACATTTTACGGATTATTAGACGAGATTTATGGAATCGGGACGGTGAACTCTGTTAAAGTGCCGGAGACTGAATTTTCAAATGCCAAAGATGGAGATCCATTCGCTGAAAAAGAGATTCATTTGAGAGACGAAGTATATCATCGACTAAAGCATTCACATATCAATGCGATTAGCAATGAGGCATCGAAAGTGCTTGCGGAGATAAGAGATGATGAGCAGGTGAGCATTTGAATGACTTACTATCTAATTTTTTAACATTTTCAGTTTGATCGAGACAAAATGTCAGTGGCCGAGTATTCAGTTCTGGTCAAAAAGATGCCAAAAATCATAAATCGCAAAAAGATGATCGAGCAGCATATGAGATTGGCTGAGATGATTCAGGGGCACGTTTACTGTAAACTGTCGGATTCGATTAAATTGGAGAGAGGTACGGTAGGAGATCAATCAACAATTAGAAATTGTTTCTTCCAGAACTTCTCGACTTCTCGGACAGTGACAAAGCGACTCCTTTAATCGAGGATCAAATCTACGACGCCGCCCCATTGAACACCGTACTCCGTCTGATTTCAGTTCATTCTTTGACATGTGGCGGTCTGAAAGCTTCTGTTCTTCAACACTACCGACGTATCATTAATCAAAGTTATGGCTCATCAGCACTGAACAAAATTTTGAAAATGCAAAAAATGGGATTAATTCGAGAGAAAGGAGGTGCTGGAAAAATGCAATGCGAGTACGCTCCAATGCTCTATCAACAACAAAAGAAGGCGTATGATATGCTACCTGAGAATTTCAGTGAAGCAAGAATGTCAGATATCGCTTATGCTTATAGTGGATTCGCTCCATTGCTCTGTAAAATATTGGATGAAGGAGATCGAGTGAAATGGGTTGGATGGCCAAAGACAGTGTTGGGAGATGATGGGATCGATCCGATTTCTGAAAGAGATCCACGTGGCACATGTATTTTTGTGATTGGAGGATTGACGAGATCGGAGATGGCTCTTATTCGAGAAAATATGCCGAATATATCTTTGATTACTACGAGTGCATTGATAACAGGCGATAAGCTTTTGAACAATATCACCAATATTTGATTTTGACTTTTTAATGTAAATACATTTCTCGGTTTTTATCCATCCCAATAAATATAATGTGCCTTATTGTCCCCCCAAACTGTGACATCTTTTGATGATAACTTGTACGTTGTAACTCCCCTTTATGTGCATCCAGTGAAAATACATTATTTGATCCATATTTATTCTTATTTACATCGTCGGGATTCTGCGCTCAAATTACAGGAGAAGCGGGGAAAAGAAAAGTCATCAATATAAGGAGCAAAAATGTCATCGTCGCCCTAAAAATATCAACAAAGAAAAATAGAATTTTGAATAGAGACAGAGAGCAGAGAAGAATTTAGGGAAATTTCAAGTTCAGCGCGCTCATGGAGACTTGATTTCCACGTACGAGACAAGTGGGCGGGACTTGTTTCGACAGCATATCGATCCATCCCATATAGATTGGAGGAGGAATATCAGCACGTGCAGATGGAAGGGTACTGAAAAATATTTCAATTGTTTTGTAAATCTGTGTGTCCGGATGTCCACACCACTCACCAGATTATCAGGTCCGCGTCTGAACTGTGCTCTCGAATCAATTCCGACGCTCTCAAAAAGCTCCTCGTTTTCTCCCGTAAATTGAATAATTGATCCTGAAAATAAATAATAATATAATATAATATATTTATTTGCAATGCATGGGGGAAATCAATAGATAATTTGGCAAGAAATGGGACATGTACAAATAAAAAAAGTAAAATGACCAGACGGACCGACTAGAGTCCTGTAGGTCAAGTGGGAGGGATCAGAATATCATACGGAATCGCTCCTACTCGCTAGTCAAATAGTCTTTGAAGTTTAGATGATAGCAAATGCGCTTCACCGAGCTCTCCGATAGAGCGCGCTTACATTATCAAAGGTTCCCTCGATTTTTTCCTTTGCGTTTGTCTCGGCACGATAAGGTTCGATTTTCTCACGGAAGTCGTCGTAGCTGAAGATTGTTTAGCTTCAAATATTTTCATCGTTCTGAAAAACTATACGTTTTCTTGCATGGTGGCTTTGCGAATTCTGGCAAAATATGAAGATCCGACGAATCGATGTAGAACTTTCTCAGAATCGCTGCCATACTCTTTTGCTCTTCATTTATTTTCTTATTATCCTTTCCATCTGTTTTGGTGAACACTCTGATGTGTGCTCCTTCAAGGAAACTTCCAGCATGTGTCAAAAGGTACGGTACCAGCATTGTAAGACCTCCAGCTTCACGGAGCCAGAAAACATCTGGAAATTCAAAAATCAAATTCCATCAAAACTCTATCATGTCAAGAATTGTAGGATGAAGTCGAAACAGTGTTCAAATTCAAATATTTGGTTCGAAGTCAAGCTAGAAAGCCTAACAAGCCTAGAAATTTGAAAAACTCGGTCACTGCATAATACTCACCGATTCTTCCATGATGAATCCTTTTTCTAAATCTGAACATTTGTTGCATTATAATCTTCTGGTCTGGCTCCGAAATACTGTGTTTGTCGATAACTTGGAATCTAGTCCCACTGCTTGTCGAACGACGACCGCCTGATTCTAGATCCTGAAACTTTGGGGTGTTTGAAAATTTTATGATGGCCTAGGATCCGATAAACCTTGTTCACAGCCATTGACATCTTTCGGAATGTGTTGAGAAGTTTTCCACGAGGCACTGAATTTATCTCAAGTAATCCAAAATCAGTATTTCGGCAGATTCTAGGATAACATTGGAAATCTAGAACCCAACAGATGACCTAGAAATCAAATATGGAAACTGCCAGGACGATTTAGGACCCTGAGCTTGTTGAATTCTAGGTCTTTCAGAACTTTCCAATTTTGAGAAAAACGTGTTCATTACCTTTGGACCTAGAAGTTCATAACATACTTACCATCTTTTTTCTGATTGATATGTTGATCAGCAATTTTTGGAGTAGCACTGAAAGATTGAAAAAATTACAGCTGCCATGACATTTCAAAGCACAGAAAAAATCACTTTGGCTGTCTAGATATAATCCCATCAAGAATTTCTGACTCCTCCCACATTTTCGGATACAATTTGTGTGAGACTCCAAAATTCGTCTATAGCGGCCAAAACGAAAATATTTCATAATTTTTTTCTACATTTTAATGGAAAATCATGCTAGACTCTCCATTGGAATCCATATTCACTTGCTCCCAATTCACTGGTTTTGGGGTGTTTTACACATATTTTTTATCGTTTTCCTTATCATTCAATTTATCACTAACCAAGGCGTTGTATATAGCTTTTCTCGGTGCAACACTTGTTTATTCAACTGGATATTATCAATTTGATAATTTGAATTTTGAGCCAAAAACTGTAGTTGTTTATGGATTGTTTATAGAAAGTTTTTGTTCGGCTGCCCTTACTGCCTGCTTTTTTGCAGACAAAAAATACGAGGATGCTCTGGTAGGTCTTTAAACCCGCATATCTCATTTCTTCTAAAAGATATCAAAAAGTGGTCAACTGATTAATTGTTTATTGTAACCTCAAACATATTTTATCAGTTAATCACTCTTTGATGTCTTTCACAGGAACCGAGATAAATAAACTCAAAGTTGAAATCTTTCCTCGAAAAAAACTAAATTTCAGATCCTTCGAATCCTTCCCAAAATTTCGATCCTTCTATTTTACACTGCTTTTTATTTCAACAGGGTCGCTTCAATGTTTTATGTGAGGATCGTTTCTCGTGCCCAACAACTAACAGACGGAGTTACTTTATTGAGTTGGGTGTTTACAGTAATCTTATTGGGATTCAAGATAGTAGGGTATGAAGAGTATAAAAAGGTGGGGTTTCATTGTCTTGGGAAATAAGAAACAGAAAATAATTCTAGAGCCTTGGAATAACCATGGTTGCCTATGGTTTCCTGTACCTCAGTCTCGCGCTTTATATCAATGACAAACTGCCTGAAGTACGTGGATTATTAGATCATGAAATCTCGAAACTATTTGGATTCGGAAATTTGGAGACTGTGCTAAAATACGAAGAACATAGAACATTCAGTTGTAATGAAGGATCAATCTATTATTTTCGAAATTTGACAAATGAGAAAATTGCCATTGATGTGAGTAAAATTTTTTAGCTAAACAAAAAGTAAATTTACAGATTTCATTCTCTAATCCGGAGGACCATGTTAAAAATTTCCACCGAAGGTTTATCCGAGGACGCGGTCATGTTAAATTTGATATCAAGAGAAGATCAAACAAAATGGGAAATGATCGGTTTTTTGTGTTTTATGCTAACAACTTAAAGGATTTGGACGATTATAATAATTGTGGATTTATAACTGTTCGGTTGTAATTAATAACACACTATAAACTTTGCAAACCTTATTTTGCGTTTTGAAGTTTCCTCAAGATTACCTGTCTACATAATCTGCCAATTCTTCATCATCATTAATTGGTGCTCCATTTTTACGAATCGAAGAAGTCACATCAAATCCACTAATATCGTTTCGGAATACAATTAGACCGACTTGTTTATCAAACGCATTTGATAACATTCCATAATATTCTGATATCACTTCTTTGCTTTGTTTTTCCCATCCCGTTTTGAATCCGACCATAAGAATGTTTGGACGGAGACGGCCGAGGCCAGCTGTCTGAAATTGAGGAATCAATTTATAAGTGACGAAAAACCTCTTACCTGCAACAAAATATTCGCACCCTGTGCTTGTCTGGTACAACAAATGGCTGCTCCAAATGCGTTGACTTCTCTCACTCTCAACCAATCATTGATTTGTTTATCGATTTTCAATTGAAGTAGGTAGCTTCGGCCGCATGGATTTTGCTAGAACGAGGGAACTGTTTTGAGTATGAGAGGGTTAGTTAGTTGAAGCTTGCCGGGCCAAGTTAAATGGAGAGAGGGATATTGGATTCCGATATTCGTAGCTCCCGTTTGTAGTAAAATATTTTAATAGGGTCAGCGAAATCAAAATACAATGTAATAGTAATATAATTATAGACAAACAGTACAACGAAAGCAAAAGTTGGAAGAGTAGTGAAGACAGCGGACAAACATACAAACAGATTGACAAAACCGCGGTTTTATCATTAAACTCTACTATGTAATTTGCATGACATGATGAGACAAAGTTACATACCGACAAAACATAACTTTCAGTTTTTCTATGTCACACCGTACCTCATTAATCAGATATTCTAGCCAAGTCATTGGCCTACACACTTCTTCTTTTACTTTCTGAAATTGTGTACGAAATGTGGCAGTGTGCACATTATTGCAGATTACATAAGTTGAAACAAACCAATAAAAGTTGAAAACTCGACAAACTATGTCGCTCATTTTTCGAAGAGAGACATGTTTCAAAACTTTTGTATCTCACTCACCGGTATGATATAGCCACAAATGAGAAGAGACTTCCCACGAGTAATGGAATGTGCAAAATCAACAAGGCCCGGTCTGGCAGCTGGACTTCCAGAAAGCAATAAGATCTGCGGATGGTAATGTCTGCGAGAGTCTGGCTCCTGTTGAAGCTCATGCATTTGTTCTAGGACTGTAGGATACATCGATTTGGCACACTCCTCACCGTCCTCGTTGGTTTCTTCTGGAAAGAAAATCAGACTACTTTTGGATCGTTTGATTCCATATAATCACTTACGACGAATAACATAGAGCAAGAAACAGTAGGAGATTCCAAAAATAGAAGCAATGAGTAGTGCTAGGTGTCGATTTGTGTAGAGTGAAGCCAAGAAGCAGGCTCCAGAAATTGCGAGAGATAACAAGGTTGGTGGAGATGGAATGTCTGAAATATGTAGGCTAGGATTCCAAGAATAAAATCGACGATGTGGTTACCAGGATCGGATAGCTTCACTAGAAACACATAGAAATTGAAAAGAGCATACGCAAACAAGTAGAATACAGTGATAGGGATACATAGAATGTCGTAGGATCCTGAAAAATGAAATTTTCAAAAAAACGAGGAACAGCAAGAACCGCTTACCAATAGCTGAAATCAGAATTTGAATGGTGGATAGAATAAAGATACATCTGATAGGAATATCTCGTTTACTGTACCCCTTGGACAACCACAAAATACATCTGCATTGGCTGGATCGTCCTAGTGATTGGAGGATGACTGCGGTGTATTGAGAGTCGTGACTGCAGATAGAACACAAGCCAAGGAGACGACAATGGCCACAGGAACGGTAGTGTACATGTAGGAGAGGAACTAAACGAATTTCAAATTTAGAATGGTACATTCGTTCTTGGGGTTTTGGAGAAGCTTCTAAAGCTAGTCTGTCATAGCTCACCTCATTATACTCATTTGTACCATGCATATTGGTAGCATTGGTTGTCCTCGCGAAAAACTCCACATAGTCTAGCATTGCAGCAGCTCCATAGAAACAAGCACTGACTGCTATCGCTATCAAAGCACCGCGTGGAGCAGTATTCTGAAGTTTCGAGCCAATATTCAGAATTGTTAATCCACACATTGCAGCTGGAAACAGTTGAGAGAAAATTGTGGTAATCTCGTCGTTGGGTGGTGATGGAATCATTGCATTTCGATCGGAAACTCTTCGTAATTGATATTCACCATAACGGAACATAACAGAGGAGAGGTGGAGGGCAATTGCAATGCAGGTAAGGGCGAAGATGAAGGATCGAGCGTAACGGGCGTTTCGGGAACGGACTAGACACAGCCCAAGAGTTACCAGGGAAAGAACTGGAAGACAAAATATATGAAGCTACAATATTCTTTGCTTACCAGATGATACCAATCTCAAATCATGAGTTGCTCCATCCAATAATTCCAGAGAGAATGTCGAAAAAATATGCAATACAGCTTCAGCGGCAGATGTCAGAAATGTACTGGTCGCTACCAAAAGACAAATCATATAGACTATTGAGAATGAGAGCGCAAACTCTGTACTTGAATAAGCCAACATCTGAAAATCTCGCAGTTAGAACAAGAGCGCTTTAAACGACCTACCGTTTTCACAAACCCAACTTCTGAACTTTTTCGGCTGACTACTGTACACGCTGACCATCCAGTCACCAGACTCACTAGGAATGTGAAAAACACCAGGAGGATCGTGGTGGCTGAAATTCATCACAATAAGATCTTATAGTTGGAAAAAATTTTAATTACTAAATCCAGCTTCATCCACAATACTCGAGAACCTGAGTAGAAGAACAACGGCGATCATTGGCTGTACACATTGCAGAAATACATCTTTCCAATTCATCCATCCTGTTGACACTGGCACGGACACCTCCGACGATGCCGAGGAGCTCTGGAAAGTTCACAAGTTTGTAATTCTCACTTTCTTTTTTCAACTTTTTCGCAGGTCTTGGCTATAATATGTTTTGTTTCAAGGTCACCGTCATTTCTACACAGTCATACATTCTGTGTGTTTTTCAACGCATTCGGTCACATATTCCATGCTATCCCCCTATCATATCAAGGGTGTTGACCAGTCCCCACTTATCTTTTCTCTCTTCTAATCTCCATCCTTTCACTTTTTTCTCAACACCCCAAATGTTTTCTTTTTTTGCCTTTTCTCAATGGGTACAACAGTTCTCACATTGCCCGTGCAGTGTGAAAAATGCCGATTTTTCCTTTTTCTATCTCGTCAAACTCACCGCCATTTTTTATTGGGGAATATCACCGAGAAAGACCCAATTTTTAAACGGATTGAGTTATTGAAACTGATCTTGTCACGTCAGCAAACGGATGGAGATAAGATGGTTGGTATCACTGAAACATACTAATTAACATTGGAGAAAATATGATCGAGTAAGAAGAGATTGGTGGCTGGTTATTACTAGGGAAACGGATAAAAAGGAAAAGAAGAACTCTATGATCTGATTTGAAAAAAAGAGAGAATTGATACAACTGCAAACTAAAGAAACAAAAAAACGAACTGGTTTTGGTAATTTGATATTGGAGATGACACGGGCGGAGTTTTTAAAATACATTAAGCTCCTCCCCAAAGTTCAAAATGAGAAAAAATCTGGGTTATTGAAAATCCAAATTTCGAACTACACAAGCAGACAAAAAACAATTATTTGAAAGAGATAGAAAGAGCAAAGTCAAGACTGATAATAGACATATAAAAAAATAGACTGTTCATAGACATATAAAAACACAGATACACAGATAGACGAATAAAATGAAGAATTAAGATTCATAGATTCAAAAGCGAAAAAAAAATTAAAACCACTGGAAACTTGAGGAAGTTTTTTTTCAAAATGAAACATTAAACATTGAAGAAAAACACGAGATATCTCTCTCCCAGTTGGGTAACAAGATTGAGAAAAACCAAAGTTGAATGAGTAAAAAAAAGAAGAAAAAAGTGATAAAATGAAGAAGGAGACGATAAACGGAATGGTTTTCTCTTGATCAAATGACATAACAAGTCAGAAAATGTAAAACTAAAAAAAAAGGGACAGCTTGTGATGAAACGGATCTTTTTGCAAATTTCTAAAATTCAATAGCGCTGAAATTCTAAACTTCAGAGGTTTCGAGTCTGAACCATGATTGCAATCAGCTTTTGAAATTTTTAACATTTCTTGAAAACTCTCTGAAATTCTTCTAGAAATTCTTTGAAAACTCAAAATGTTCTTCTGGTCAAATTTCTGTTAATGGAAGATTTTTTTAAAAGTGAGAATTAGAGAAAAAAAGATGAGTTGAGAAAAATGAATAGGGGAAAATGGAGGCAATTTGAGTAAAAGCTCTCGTTTTTTTTCTCATCATCCCTTTAAAGTTTTGGTGAAAAACCAATATCTATAGGAAAAAAAAGAAAACAGATGAAGAAAAAGAGAAAATGAGAATAAATCTATTTCATTATTCAACTCTCTTTTTTCTGGAAGATCTATTCATTTAGAAAAAGGAATCCATCCAAAAAAAGAAGAAGTCGTAAAGGAGATTAACTTGTAAAAATATTTTCTTTTTTTATGGCTGGCCCTTTCCAAGGAACCTCCGGGGGTCCTTTTATTACAGGGACTCTTTAATTAGAGGAGCTCTTCTAATACAGATTTACTGAGAAAGTGAAACTTTTGAAACGAATGCGAGATTTTTATTTTGTAATAGAACTACTTTGGGTAAATACCAGGCACACGGAAACAGCTGCAGAGAGATAGAAAGGGAAAATGGAAAAATGAGAAATTGTTGTTGTGGAAAAATAAAAGAATGTCTGTTCAAATTTTTAGGTGGTTGTGGTCAAAGGGAAAGACCAGATGTACATTGTCTGGAGACCAAAAACTGAGAAACAAAAAGAACGCGGACATCCCGGTGCATATGATTGGTTATTTGGAAATTTCAGAATGAGGAAGTCGAAATTAGATAATTTATGATTATGCAAACATAAATTCCTGGATTCTCGATTGAATCCATAATTTCAACAGTTCAAAATTTTATATGTAGTTTCGACAAATTCTAGATTCGAGTTCTTTCAATTTTTTCCCAGAGTTTTGAATCTAGGAGTTTCGAATTTTTAAATACCGAATTGTGGTAAATCTCGACAAAAATGTCTAATTTTCTCTTGTGATTAGAAGCGAGAAAAAAGTTTTGATAAGAAGAAGAAGAGGTGATAAAAGAATCGAATGATATCTTTTCTCTCTTCTTTTTCTCACCCGTGTCCATCGTCACACCTTCTTACCGTATTCTGTCTATTCTTCTTTTTTAAATTTTTTAATCTTTTTTCTCTGCGTTTCCTTCTTTCCCGCTTGATACTTTAACGATAATGATTAGAAAAAGGACAAGGAAATTTGAAGAGACGCAGAGAAAGACCGAGATGTAATAAATTATGAATTGTGTGTGTAGATACAATGGAGATCAAATTCGAAAGTTCAAGTTGAGGAGAATCAGCAGTTACTATAGAATCGAATATTAGAGGATTTCAGAGAATCTGAATTACGGAGTAACCGAACTTATGAATTATAAAATTTCAGAAAATCTAAATTTTACGAATTCTCATACAAATTTTACGAATTCTCATTTTACGATTTCTCATGCATTCCTGTTTTCCAACTTTGAAAATTCAAATATTTTTGGAATTTTCCATATCAGGAATCTCGGATTCCTAAAACTTCCGAAGTGTTTAATGTTCGCATATTTGATTTAGAAGTCTTTGGATCGAGCTAGAAAAAGTTAAAAACTCCATTACTGAAGATCGGAAAATTTTCTGACGTCAAAAAAATTCAGATATACACCTGAACCCTGACGTCGTCTATTCAATGAAAAAATCACTTCAAAAAAGTGGACGAAAAAAAAAGAATAAGGGAGAATTTTCGATTCTAATAAAAAGAAAAAAGTTAAGACGATTTGGATTAGGTGTCTCTGCGTTTTGTGTGTTACTAGTTTTGTATAGAAATGAAGAAAAAAATCAAAAAGAAATCAAAGACTATATTGAGAAATGATTTTTTCTCAGATTTTACAATTTCGAAACAATTAAGATTCTCTAATTTTTTGGAAGATTTAGAGATTTTTGGAGAATTCAAATTCAATTTTCCAGAATGGATTTTTTAGTAGCTTAATTTTTACTCTTTTTTGTATTATGGTCTGAATTTATTGTTTTTTTTTTTTCGGTCACAAAATAAACTAGTAGAGACCAAGAGAAAATTTACAAAGAGAAGGGATAAAGTGGAGAGATTTAGACAGAAAAAAAAACAAGTTGAATGATATCACTTTAAAAAAAGACAATATAAGGACAGGAGATAAATGATGGGTGCCGAAAAAAGGGAATGAAGAAACATGAAAAAATCTATCTCAATGCATCTGTGAGTTGCAGTAATCCAAACTACAGTAGACCTTGTTTTCAAAATCTAAAGGATCTAATTAGGATTAATGGTTTAATAGTTGCTAGTGAATGTTGAAAGAGGGAAATGGTGCAGTTTGAAAAATGAGAATCAGTTCAGAGATTTTCAGAGTAGTCATCACAAAATTCAATTAATTGTTATCTTCTTCAGGGACAGTCTGTACTCCAGCATGTTTAATGCCAACCTGTCGATGTTTCGTCCATTGACTCATTTGAATAAAAGTATCCAAAAGTCGCGCCTTCACATCTCCGGTCAAATTTGGGTTATGGGTGATTGACGGTTTTATACACTGGTATATTTCATCAGTTAATGACATCCAATTAACCCATAATTGCTTTTGAGCAGTGTCACAGAGATCCGAAAGAGCCAACGCGCAGAGATTCACCATTTCTGGCTCTTCCACTATTCTCTCTTTGGTTGGAGATTCCGGTATTTCCTCTTTGTCTTCAGATTTTTGGTTTTGCAGATCCTCACGAGTTTGGTATTTTGGTTTGGGCTCTTCTTTGTGGTATCTCTGGAAAATCAATTTTTATAAGGGGATATTAAACTTTCAAAATGAGAAACCAACCTCTGTATCCTCTCCAACCACTTCAATCCATCCTTTGACTATACAAACAACCGTATACAAAATTGGATTGACGTTATCAAAAGCTTTCGCATACTGCCTTGGCCAATGAGCACATAAAATTGCAGACAAAAGAGCTGGAATTGGTTTATCGTCGTCTTCCATTATATGTTTCGATGAGGTAGACATCAATTCATCCGACATTACAGCAGAGAACATATGGTTTGCTGAAAAAAAGGTACTTGATTTTTTTTTTCAATTCTATATTTGACTTTCGTGACTTACCGAAAAGTGCCACTATTAAATCAGAAATGAATTCCGGTTCTCCTTGATCCAGAGCAGTTGAAATCATCGATTGACACACTTCTTCCCAATCCGATTCTTCCATTGTATCAATCAAATCATTACTTCCCAATATGTTTCGCTCTATAAAGTTCAGAGTTTTAAAGGTGGGGGGACAGGAGATTTTACGGGGGATTTTTGGGGCGAGTATGCATTCTACCGTAACAGTGTACAACGCTTAATGTCACTCTGCGTACAGCTGTCGTCCTCGCCTTTATGTATGCAATCGGGCAGCCGTTTTCTCTTTGTCCGCGTAGCTCAGTCGGTAGCGGCGCCGCACCCTCAATCCTCGCCCCCACAAGTTCAACTCCTCGAGAGGCATATTTAAGCGGAATTTCGAGAACATTATTTTTTCATGTCCCCCCACCTTTAAGAATTCTAAAGAATTGCAAGAATCAAAGAATAAAGGGACTCACTAATCTGTGCTGCTGATCGATCATTTCTGACATTCAAGTCACTAATCTGAGCAATGATATCCTCAACTTCTAAGAGTTCTTCAAAAGGCATCGCGTCTTCTATTTTCTTTGTTGGAGGCAAATTGGATGGTTTTTGATCTTCATGACCTTCATGGTCCCTTTCTGGTCTCCTTGAATTTTCATATCTTCCTACTCTTGATGGGCCACCACCACCTCTTCGGAAGTTTCCAGAAGGATTTCCAAATCTTCTAGAAGGTTTTTCATATCTTTCAGAATCGAATCCAGATCTTTCTGATCTGTCGTTCTTATTTTGAAACCTTTCTGACCCTTGCGATCTTCCATGATTATTGTCGTGTCGTTCAGAATCATGTCCGTATCCTTCGTTTCTTGGTTGAAATCCGTCATTTCTGTTTTGGAATCTTCTAGAATTATTTTCGGACCTCCCTGATCTTTGATCATATGAACCTTGATTTCTTCTAGAAGAATTTTCAGCATTTCCTTCATCGTCGAATTTATTACTGTATGTCTCTTGATACCGCACATTACCCTTTCCACGTGGCTTTGGTTTGTCTTCTTGGTTTGATCGGTATGTTTCCGTTGGATTATGGTAGCTTCTAGAGTTTTCTTGAGTAGACGTTTGAGCATCCTCTTGTTCATTTTCTTCATTTTTCCCTGGGAAAGTCACTCTTCCGGCGAGACGAGACATCTTTGATTCTGGAAGGATTTTTATGGCCTTAAAATTCAAAGTTTTTAGATTCTAGGTCATTGGAATAGGAGGGATTAAAAGACTTGAGCTTAAGGGACTTTTCAGGAATGTTGAAATTTTTCAATTCCAGAGATTTTCAGATATTGGGAATCTTAAATTTAAAGAAAAGAAAGATTTTCAGATGACTAAAAACTCTAAACTTTAAGGGGGGGGGGGGGGCAGGAGATTTTTCTTAGTTTTTTTGTAGCTAGAGTATGCATTCTACCGTCACGGTGTACAACGCTTAATGTCACTCTGCGTACAGCTGTCGTCCTCGCCTTTATGTATGCAATCGGGCGTGCGCTTTATCTTTGCCCGCGTGGCTCAGTCGGTAGCGGCGCCGCACCCTCAATCATCGCCCTCACAAGTTCAACTCCTCGAGGGGCATCTTTGAACGGAATTTCGAGAACATTATTTTTTTCATGTCCCCCCCCCCCCACCTTTAACATTTCAGATTTTCAGAGTTTCAGGATTAAAGGGGGACTCCGACCAAAAATTTTTATTGCATTAAAATGTGTTAAAAGTTATCTATTTTCCTATATAATATTATTGCGAAAAAATTCTAAAAAAATCCGAAATCCCCGAAAAACGGCGTCGAAAAGGAAGAAAATTCAAAAAAAGGTGCCGCCGGGGAACGAGGATTTTCAGTGAGAAACCTAGGCCACGGCAGCGGGCGCCTTTCCTACGTGGCAAATTTTCCGGATTTTTTTCAATTTCATATCCGGCAGGTAAAAAACGTAAAAAACCAAAAAAAATTTTGGTCGGAGTCCCCCTTTAAAAATTTCTAAAAATTCTTCAAGGTTTAATTGATGAATTTTACATTCTCTGGAAATTCGTAGTTTTGAACAATCAAAAAAATTGAAACTTTGAATTTCGATGATTTCTAAAATATGATTCATGTGGGAAAATTACAAATCTAGAATTCTAGTACTGGAAGATGAGAGTGTCTACTTTTGGAATTCAATTTGTTTAAAAAAATGAAGTTCATAATTTTTGGTCTATCCGAAGTCACATTTTGTTTTCTTATCTTCTGTGTCGTTTTTTATCAACAGGGCAGACTTGCAATTTTTGTGTAATTTTCAGAAGGAATGTTTAAGAAAAATACATTGATGAAGATTTAGATTGTTATAAAAATGGGGAAGGAAAAAAAATTAGAAAAATGTTATAATTGTAAATGTTGTGCTGTATCAAATTGATTATGATAATTACAGGGTTAATATGATGCTCAATTTCAATTTAAATGATAACTGTTAAATGTGTTAATGCTTTTCTATTGTAAAAATCCATATATTTGCTTCAGACTTGCCGTTCAAATAATTTTTTGGCTCTGCTAAACAACGCGCAGTACGACACTCCGCAATCCCGCTGAGCTCCGCCCCGTTTTTCAGCAATTTTCTTTGTTTTTCACACCGTTTTTTCATCTGAAAATGCTCAAAACAACAACAAAAACTTGAATAGAATATTTTTAATCAAAACAAATTCCAGTTGAGCAAAATATGGCAAGCAAAGGAGCCGCCCGTGTCCGTAAGAAGGAGATTGTGAAGGTGGTACACGGAGCACTTCTTCGCACTAATATCAAGTGAGTTTTTCGATCAAAATTGAAATTAAATTTAAAAAGAAATTGAAATCTTCAGAAAATTTTAATTCTAGCTAAAATTTTGAATGCGGAACGCCTATTCAGGCTTATTAGACCAAACATAGCCGAATTCGCTTTCATTTATGAATAACAGCGACAAAATACTCTTGTGTTCTTATTAACCTGGCTTTACTAAAGTTTCCCTAATTCTTCCCATTTTCAGAGCACAAATGGCATCAGCTGCGCCTCCACTAGGCCCTCAACTAGGTCAGCGAGGTTTAAACGTGGCGAATTTCTGTAAAGAATTCAATAAAGAAACGGGACACTTCAAGCAGGGAGTTCCACTTCCCACACGAATAACTGTTAAACCAGATCGAACGTATGATCTGGAAATTTGTACCCCGACGACTACATGGATGCTGAAACAGGCAGCTGGAATTGGAAGGGGAAAATCTAGTAAAGGTAAGGTATCGATCTCTAAAGCTAGTCGAATTTTCAATCGTGTTTCAGACGAAATCGTTGGAAAATTAACTGTGAAGCATCTGTACGAAATCGCGAAAGTGAAATCTCGTGATAAGGCTCTTCAACACGTCGAGTTGGAACATATCTGTCGAATGCTAATCAAAACATGCAGAACATTGGGAATTGAAGTACAATATCATGATTTGAATCCGGATGAATTGAAGGAATTCCTAGTGGCGAGAAAAGAAAAAGTGGATGCTCAATTAAAGGAACTAGCTGATAAAAAGGCAGCGAAAATGCTCAGAACTACATAATTCTTCTACTTTTTCTTAGTTTTTATTGCTATATATTTTTCCGATTTATAGGGTTGTAGTTCTTGTTATTTTCTTGTTTTCTTCAAGTTTTTTTGTTCTAAAGATATATTTCTTTTTAAAATTTGAAAGTTTTTTTTTCAAGATCCGTAAAAACGGTTATTGGAATATTTCTTCAGGAATTTAAGTGAAGAAGCGGTTTCTTAGACATTTTAATTAGAATTTTCTCAATTTTCATTGGACATGTGACATTTTAATCAATTCTTTTTCTTTCCCTATTCCCCTTAAGATTAAGAGACCCACAAAGATTTATTATGCAATTCATCCTATTTTTCTTCCTCCAGGTTTCTTTTTCTTGAGTGCTGCTTCCATAAAATAAAGAAAAATTCCTCAAGAAAAACGAAAAGCATCTCCTGATGAGCTCATTTTTTGCGAAAATAGGTTAATATCAGTCAATTTTTAAGTTTTCATGTTGTCGTTTACTGAAAACTTCAAAAAATCTTCTAGCTGCGGTTCAAGAGAAATTCTAATAAAAATTGTGCTTTTTTCTCCCCCTATATTTACTTTTCTCTCCATTTTTTCTCCTCTTTCTGCAGTACGGGACACAGAAAAAAGGGCAAATTTCTGTCATATAAAGATAGCTTCTTATCAGTTTCGCTTTTCTAAATTTTCCAACAATTTTGATTTCATTTTAGAGTTTTTTTGGAATTGTTCGACAGAGAAATAAAGAAACAAACATGTTTTTCACTTTGGAAGAATGTTAATCGGATTTTTTTGTTGCGAATGTTTAGGTTTTAAAAACAAAAATGCAATTGTACTCTTTATCTGAATATTGATTTTGAGCCAAAGAAGGTTTTGTGACAGTTTCCTTGATTTTTAAATTATTTAGCTTTCTTAAATTTTCATATTCTTACTTCATTCGTATGCTAGCTCCGCCCACTTTCCTTTATTCAGGCCTAAACCACTATGCAAATTAACACGAGGGAATACTCTCTCCATTTTCGAAATTCGAAACCTTTTCCCTCTACTTTTCCCTCTATTTCATCGTCCGTTTTGTGTCTTCAGTTCCATACGTCATCTTTCCGAATGCTGTTGTTTTTCATTCTCTCTAGTTCTCTATTTCTCTCCATCCTCTATACTATTTCGATGTTCTCTCGAAAACTCCCGTTTTACGGAAATTGACAAAATTGAATGGGAGAGAGTTCTTCATACAGAAAGTAGGTAGTGAAAATGTTCGAAAGTTGTAGTGTTTGCTTGTATTTCGATTTTTAGAATTTTTGTATTTGTACAAGTTTCTGAAATCGGTGGTGTAAAGGTGCAGTAATTCGTGAATTTTGGTGATAGAACATTTCAAGGTTAAGCTTCCACCAAAGCCAGGAATCTGAAAGCTTACGACTGAAAGACCCCCCTGTAGCTGTTTCAATTGTCTGGATCTCCAGCTGTTTTATGAGAACAGGGAGAAAAGAGATTTGTACTTTGTGTACTAAATGACACATCCTGTTCTCTCGTGTCTGACACGAACACCAGATGTAACAGATGTTCGTTTAATAGGAAGTGAATTAGAATGAATTCGGTATTATAAGGCTTTCCAAGTAACCCAGTACTTTCGAAGCTTTTATCCTTGTTTGAGGAAAACGTAGAAAAACCAAATAAGGCTTGTTTTGGAAAATCTAAATTCAAGATCTAGCTGGATATTGAGCATATTGTAACTCTATAGAGTATAGTTGAAATCGGTGAAAGCAAAAATTTTATGACCTCCGATTGTCAGATTCATCACTTTTCTGACCATTCTATGTTCATGTTCAACAAAAAAATCACACACGCTTCCGAAATCCTCGAGTACATATCGTCTTTCGTCCTCCTCTCGATCCATCTATTCCTCCAATTTCGCTGTGCTGTTGTTCCGCATATTTCTAGGTGAGTCACTAGTCAGTTTTGCCTTCATCTCCTCTGTCTAAATACAAACACACTTTCACGTACAAACACAAACAGACACACTACTCGCTTCCTCCATACTCACTGCGCAGGAGAACCGGCTGACTTGCCAAGGAAACGAGATGGAAATGCTAACTGTGTGTGTATATGCCTTATTATGAAATTAGCTTCTGGTTACTTTCTCTGACTTTCTCTCTTGTTTCGGAGGTTTCACAGGTTTCCAAGTAAGCCTATTGTAGTCATTGTTCAGAAACCTTCTGCTTCTTATAGGCTTACGGTATTTCAATTCTTTTAAAAAGGTTAAAAGTACCAATCCTTTCCAAATGTTTGAAAGTAATCTTCTAGAATTCTTGAGTCTCACTCTCAGTCGCTCTTTTTAAATTCTAAGAAGGTTCTCGATTATTTTCCCCTGGATTCCTATTCTTTGCAGTTTTCAGATTCTCAAATCACAACTCATCTTCGAGAGCGTAGAATTGAAAAAAGAAATCGATGGTTCAGTATTTTTCTAGTTAATGAGGATATTTATTTCTGGAAGATTCTAAATTTTCAATTCGCTTGAATACCAATTTAAATTTTATCACTAATTATCTCTTCTTGTTCTCCGTTCGAAATTAATCAATCTCCATCTAATTTTGCAGTAGTATGGACCATCGTGCCCAACTGCGCGAAGCCTTCGTGCGTGGTCAACTGGAAGCTGTTCAGAAGGCAATCACCAAAAACGAGGTTCCGTTGAAGCCGAAACATGCGAGAACAATTATAGTCGGAACTCACAAAGAGAAATCTTCTGGAATATTCTGGCATACTGTCGGAAGGATTCAGCTGGAGAAACATCCGGTGTTAACATGGAAATTCTGTCATTTGGTCCATAAAATGTTGAGAGATGGATATCGAAAAGTGCCAGAGGAGACTTATCGGTGAGGCAGAATCATTTTCTACAGTAATTCTCATCCCGGCTTTCAGATTCGTCAACCGTTTCACTCAACTATCTCAGTTCTGGAAGCATCTAAATACATCGGGCTATGGTCCTTGCATTGAAGCTTACTGTAAACTTATTCATGACCGTGTCGTCTTCCATAACAAATATCCAGTTGTTCCTGGAAAACTAGACGTCAATGATTCTCAATTGAAAACTTTAGAAGGAGATTTGGATAATATGTTCGAGATGACAATTGATATGTTGGACCAAATGGATGCATTGCTCATGCTTCAAGATAGAGTATTCGAAATGATGAATTCTCTTCGCTGGAACTCTCTAATCCCGCAAGGACAATGTATGCTCTCCCCACTGATTATTGCTGTTTTGGACACTAGCAAATTCTATGATTACCTTGTTAAAATGATCTTCAAACTGCACAGCCAAGTACCACCGGATGCTTTGGAAGGGCATCGTTCTAGATTCCGAAAGATTTTTGAGCGGACAAAGAAATTCTACGAAGAGGCGTCTGCCTTGCAATACTTCAAGTATTTGGTGTCGATTCCTACGCTTCCATCGGTGAGAATTTTTTGCTGAAAAGGGTCCAAGAATTAGCTAAAATTATGATTTTGAAGAATTGATGTTCTTGATATGCTTTTTTGTGTTGCCAAAAAAAATTCTCGAAAATTAAAAATTTCGAATTTTATTGTAAAGAACCCAAATTCTCATTTATCAACGATGAGCACTATAAGAAAAACCAACAAAATGCATACAACCGAAACATCTAACTTCCAGAAAGCACCAAACTTCCTCCAACAATCCGATCTTGAGTCCTACCGTACCCCACATGCCTATCTTCATTCTGAGGGTTCAGAAGACGGAACTTCTCTGAATGGACATGACGGAGAGCTTCTGAATCTGGCGGAAGAAGAACCACAGCAAGCAAGTCCATCTAGTTTACCAGATCCACGAGAAGAGCAAATTGTCATGTTGACAAGGGCTGTGGAGGATGAGAAGTTTGCTAAGGAGAGACTCTTGCAGGAGGTAATTTATATTTTCGGAATTCGAAATATATTTTTTTCTTCAGGCCCGCAATCGCATTGAACAATACGAAAATCGCCTGCTTCAAATGCAAGGAGACCTAGATCACGCGAAAAGAGAAGCTGATGAGAATCGGGAGGAGTCGACTAGAATTAAGAGTGAGTTCTTGATTCTATCTTAAAGTCTTAAAATATTTCATTTACTCTAACTGAATTTTCAGACGAGCTCGCTCTCCGTGACGCCTCCAAAATTCAATCGGACGATGCACAAGTCAAACAAGCCGAAGCCAAAGCCACAGCAGCAGAGGAGAGATTCCAGAAGATGAAGGGAGTCTACGATAAATTCAGAAGTGAACACGTCGTCGCACTGACGAAGTTGGGCGATCTTCAGAAGCAATTAGATGCTAGTGAAAAGGCAAAGTTTGATAAGGAAGAAGAGATCACCGCGTTGAATAGGAAGGTAGAAGAAGCACAGAGAGAAACTGGAAGAGCCTTGTCGAAAGCAGAAGGAGATGCTGGAGCTGTGGATGAAATGAGAACTCAGCTGGCTAAAGCTGATATAGAAGTCGAGGAGTTAAAGAGGGTAAGGGTTAGAAAGATAGAAACCCTAAAGCGAATATAATCAAAAATCAATGGAAACCCAGCCATCCGTATATATCATGTGCGCACATATATATATATAAGTGTAAAAGTAGGAAAAAGAGAAAATGTCAAATGATTCATATTTGCCTCTAAGGTACAGCTTATGTTTTTTTTATACTTTTCCGTTCATCTTCACGTCTTCTTGTTCCAGACAATCGACCATCTCCGTGAGAAACACGCCAACCAGCTGGTTCAGTCGTCTGCCGAGGAGGCCAATAAGATCACTGTTGCCCGGCAAGAAGTAGCGAGTACGTAAAAAGTTTTTGAATTAAAAAACACAAACAAAGTATTTTTCAGAAGAATCCGGTGTCGGAATCACGAAGATGTTTGATCACTGTGAGGAGGAGCTTCAGAATGCCACATCGATAACGTATCCGCCACGTGAGTTTTGATAATGATGAGAGGACATCTGGATACATGGATTTTGAAGTTGACAACACCATCCCAATTTCAGACCTCGCCCAAGCCGCCATGACCAATCTCATCTCAATCATCTCCTCGGATCGTCTTGACGAACCTCTGGCCGCCCGTGACACGTCTTCGCTGGTCATGTCTTATCCACTACGCTCTCATCCGCTGCTTCAGCTGCCTATACTGCCAGTATTGAGAGCTATGAAGGGGTCAATGATCAGTGTAAGAAGATTCTCGCAACTGCTAAAATTGCCTTTGCCGATGATAGTGCACTGTCGAGAGCTGAGAAAATGAACGTACTAAGGGAGGATGTGAAGGTAAACAATTTTAAATAATATAGTCATTACTGAAAAATTTTCAGACCCTCAACACACTTATCGTCTCTCTTCCCTTGGCGACAGATATCGATAAAGAAGTCGTTGGAAGTGAGCTGGAACAAGAAATGCGGCGAATGGATGATGCGATCCGTCGGGCGGTGCAGGAGATCGAGGCGATTCAGAGGAAAGCACGAGAAAATTCAGATGGTATCCGACTCGAAGTTAATGAATCAATTTTGGCCAATTGTCAGGCATTGATGTCGGTTATCATGCAGCTGGTGGCGGCTTCTCGAGAGCTACAGGTAGGAAGTATCTCAAATTTTCTACTGAAAATCGACATTTTTCCAGATCGAAATCGTTGCGGCTGGAAAACAAGGTGGCTCCCCGGCAGAGTTCTACAAACGGAATCATCAATGGACCGAAGGATTACTATCAGCGGCCAAAGCAGTTGGAGTTGCTGCTCGTGTCTTGGTGGAATCCGCTGATGGAGTTGTCACTGGGAAAGGAAAATTCGAACATTTGATTGTGGCAGCACAAGAAATCGCAGCATCGACAGCGCAACTGTTCGTGTCGAGTAGAGTCAAGGCTGATAAGGATTCGTCCAAGTGAGTTACCCTTTTTTTAATTATCCTGAAAATTATTCCAGACTGGAAGCCCTTTCGATCGCCTCAAAAGCTGTCAACCAGAATACTGCTCAAGTCGTCGCAGCAGTCAAGAACGGCCAAACAACGTTGAATGACGATGGGAACTCTCTAGACTTCTCGTATCTATCTCTGCATGCTGCTAAAAAAGAAGAAATGGAGTCGCAAGTGAGAATGTTGGAATTGGAACAGAGTCTCAATCAGGAGAGAGCGAAATTGGCGGCGCTTCGCAAACAGCATTATCATATGGCACAGCTGGTTGCAAATAAGGTATTTTTTGAAATTATGGAAAGATTCTGTAAACTAGGAGAATTGGGTTGGAAATTTCAGCCTGAAATGTGTTCTTTGAACTATTTTTCTTTAAATAACGTTTTTTTTAACAGAGCTGAAAAAATGCCGAATCACGGATATAAAGGTATGATTATCACCCCACCCATTTTCCAAGAAAATTTACCCGCTTCTAAATATTTTCCTGGAAAATTGTAAGATTTTAAAAAGCGATTTAAAAATTGTACTACTCTTCACAATCCTGTTTTCCCTTGTTTGTATGTACACACCTACTGAAAAAAAATCCCTGAAAAAATCCCAACACCAATGGTACTACTATCCTGCACATCACGCTCTCCCACAGAACAATTCCAAACTGCAAATTAATTTTTGATCTACAGAAAAAAAATTTGGCGATACATGAATCTATAACCACTAATTATTTTTTAAAGAATCATTTGAATCATCTTGGAACTCCACAAAATCAGATAAAAATTCTGAAATTTTGGTTTTAGACCTGCAATTGTAATCGCGCCAACCTTTTTTCTGTAGATCAAAAATTAATTTGCAGATCGGAATTGTTCTGTGGGAAAGCGTGCACATCTTACCTTTACGGGAGTTGAAAAGTCAATTTCATTCAAAAAATATTTTCAGGAAGACGAATCCGAGGAATAGAGAACCAGACCAGCTGACTTCTAATTCCCATCCTCCCACTAATTGTATAAAATTTGCCACATTATTTTTGCGAAAGCTTATTTTTTTCATGTGCAAAAATCCCCCTCTCTCCCAGTGCCTGTAAAAAATTTCCGAAATTTTTCATTTTTCTTATTTTTCAATTCCCCGCTAAAATCTCATTTTCGTCCCAGTCTCTCCCTCTCTCCGATATTTTCAATTGTGCCCGAGAGAAAAGAACTTTAAACAGAAACTAGTCCCGTCCCAGTGTTCCTCGCCTCCTTGAAACTCAATTTATATATTTTTTATTGCGATTTGAGATGCTGATTTATTTTGTATTGCACCCTCCTTGAAAGAAAACTGCAACGAGGTACTGAAATATAATTATTATTTTTTTTCATCTAAAAATTTTATTCAAGTTGAGAGCCGTCAAAGTAACAATCACAGGTTTAGAAAAAAATGCCGATAAGTTGGTTTGATCTTTGGTTGGAATGTAGGAAATGAGATATGAAATTGGGGAATTGACTAGAAACACAATTGCACATAAAATGAGAAAAATGTACAAGAAATCAATAAATACATCAATCACTTTCATCAATGGCGAGCATCGGGACAGTGTCATCGCCGAGTCCAGTAAATTTTAGAATGTGCTTCTTTTTGTATTTTTCCAGAAGCAGCATGGTACAGGAACAGATGGTTATGATGAGTAGACTCGAGCTTATTACTGAAAAAAAGGAAGAATTTTCGAAAACGCCAAAAAATTGGTTTCAGAATTTTGTTCATAAGTTTTTATAGAGAAGAGATCCTGGTCTGATTTTTTGCACCACAGTTTAAAATTTACCGTAGAACATATTGATTAGAATAAACCAAAAACATTTGTGTACAAGGCTTTTTGAAAAAATCTTGAAAAAGTAGTTTTTTTGATTTTTGTTATAAAAATGTTATACATTCAATTTGACCTGAATATCTTCACTGAATGCGTTTTTTTGGAACTAACCGAAATAAGCAAAATCCATGTTCCACCTGAGTCCACACTCCAATTCCCAGTCATCAGGAAAGTATCTACTCAAATCGTTTCCTAACCCCTCAAGTGTACACGGTGCATGACATCCTGGAATCGAGTACTCGATCAGCCTATCAATATCTGTTTCGTTTTTATGGAGAACGCGAATCACTCGAGTTTGATTTTGTAGTTTGTGCATTTCAATGAGAAGACAGGTGGCATATTTTGGGTAAATATCGTAGAAGATACCAAGTGTAGCGAGGAGAGCGGCGATCGTTGAGTCGTGCTGAAAAACGAGAGCTAAATAATCGTTGATAAATCGAAATATTGCTTACTGCAGAATACGCATAGAACTTGGCTTCATTGCCTAGCGACCCGTTCGCTTTATCACTAAATCTATGGAAAATTTCTTCTAGAAGAGTGCCACCACGAAGACGTCGAAGTGTTTCTGTGTGGAATTCTAGCTGGGATACTTCGTTGTACAACTGGTCGACTCTTTCGAAAATAGAGGAATTCATCCAGACAGGCCAAGATATGTTGTGTTGTTTCTGGAAAAAAAAACTCTTTACATTATTCTATGACTCAAAGCCTGCTTACCTCACAGAAAAAGTTATCGAAAATTCGCCATGTGGCTTTCAGCTCCATGTTTGGGAGGCTGAATTTTTCAGAGAAAAACTTGAGCTCATTGGCGAATTTCTGGCGAATAGCATCCGCCTTCTTTGATTTCCACTGCGCGTTCATCTCGGCTTCAGCTGTTGGACATTTCACTTCTTCGTACAGTTCCTGAACAAAAAATTTTAAGTCGTGACTTAACTTTTTGTGTTCTGGGCTAGTCTCTCACCTACCTTATCCATAGGCTTTGGTCGTGTATGTACTGGAATCGGTTGCCACATCAATCCCTCGGCAATCGGCGGGAATAAGCCAGCCATATTGGCCTGCGCCGACATCAATGTGCGATTGTAGTCCGAGCTACGGATATAAATCTGGAAGTTAGAATTTAGGTTTGTGATTTCATATTTTATGAAAGTACCGTATTCCGATTGAATTTCTCATCCAGCCACGCTCCATACCGTTTTCGAAGCCACTGACCCAGTCGGTACTGTTGAGCTGGAAAGTCAGTTTAACAATAAGAACAAGATATAACAATAAGAACAAGATGAAACTTAAAGGGGCCAGAAAGCAACAAAAAAACGATGGATAAATCAGGGGATGTGCATTTTGACGTCGCGGTGTTTGCACCAGAAGCACGCAATTCAACGCGCGGCTATATTTTTTTCCAGAAATTGACATAAAATTTAATTTCAAGTTCTTTCCTACCTGCTCCCTCCTCCGTTAACTCTCCAATCCCTTCTTTCCATTTTTTCAAGTCATCGGGTTCCAAAAACTCGGCAGGCGTTCGATCTCCATGTCTCCAGATGGTGTGGACGTATTCTAGAGTCGACGTGTCTGCGAGAAGAGGAACTGCTACGGATGGAGCAACTTCTGATGACGTGGCATGATTCAGAAGTGAGGGGATGAGAAGGAGGATATGGAGCATTCAATGGTGGTACCCTGGGAACTTTTTTTAAAGTTTTCTAAATTTGGTTTTATAGAAGAATCTATAAAAGGACATATCCTATTTGAGCTTCTACTAAAAAAAGTTTTAGGAAAATAAATTTATTTAAATTTTAAATGGGGAAAAAATTTGATGATTCTTTCGGAAAAAGGACAGAAAAATACATATTCTCGGATAGAAAAGGTTTTGGCACCTTTTTTTAATTTTCTGGAAAAATTGCGTAGTTTATAGAGAAAAAGGGCGAATTTTCAGGGGGAATGATAGAGAGAAATAGGGAAGAAAAATGAAGAAAACGGAAATGTGTGGAGCGGGAATTTACAAACAAAAGGACACAGGAAAAGATAGGAAAGATTTGAGAAAATAAGAGAATTACTGTAATCGGATAGGTGAAAGCTAATCGGAAACTTTATGGGAAAAAAGTAGTGGGGAAGGTTTTTTGGATTACTGTAGATGAAAAACCCAGGAATTTTTATATTAAAAAATCTGCCTTTCAGAACTTTTCTTCACTACAGTAATCTCATCAAAAAATTCCACCGAAACACTAATAAAACATTTAGACATAATTGCAGCACTTGTTCATCTTTCTTGCCGACGTGTAGAACATTTTCGACTGATCCGACAGATTTTCCGATTTTTTGACCAAGTCGTCCAACTTCTCTCCACGATCCAGAACTGATTGAATTGTGTTGTGCATCACCATCTTCGTCTCCTCGACTTCTTCTTGGACTCGTGTCATTGGGTCGGCTTCGCGTGGATTCTGCCATCTCTCCAGAAGCTCGCGGAGGCCAACATAAGAGCAGTCCTTCTCTTTTTGGATTCCTGCCTGCAAAATATGAAAGAATGAGCAATCATTGAAAAATGCGGGAAGGAGGGTTTCTTCCAGTGTTCTAGCATTCTCAAGAATTTAGCAATTTTGGGCTTTTCTAGAATGTTATAGATGTCTGAGCAGTTATTTGATGAGCTTACCCATTGCGCGGCTGGAACTTTGTTAGTGAAATCATCGAGAACTCGTCCCAAGAAGCTCATTGCCACACGTTGTTGATATTCCAAATCCGCTACACAGACTGCTGATAGACCGTCGTTTCGGACGTAACAGTGGAGCAGATACTCGTTTTCCTGTAATTAGAGAGAGATTTAGAAAAAGCTTTTTGCTAAATCTAGCTCACCTTGACAGAACTTCTTGTTCCCAGACCACTTCTCTCAACAATCAATTTCGAACTGAACGTCATGAATTCCTGAACGGACGATCGTTGGAAATAACTGAACGACGACAAGTCAGATTCCGATTTGAAGATTCGAACGTTGGCAGTGGTGGGATCCTTGTGAAGCACGTGGATCGAGTACAACTTCATTTTCCGGCGTTTTTTGTACCTGAAGATTGGGAAAATTTCGTGAAGAAAACGCTGTGAAATTTTTTTTGAAATATTCGGAAGAAAGCGAGAGAAAAAAGAGGGAAATCCGTTGAAAAAAAAGGGGGGAGGGGAACTTGAAAATTCTAGAAGAAAATCAGAGTGTTTCAGACGAAAAATCTAAAAAAAATTGGCGAGAAAGGAATTGGAAGAATGCGATAAAAAATGAAGAAAATAAAGAAAAATCTGGTTTAAAACCATCGATAAATCGGCAAAAAATCAGTTTTTCACACAAATTTCTGAAAAAAAGAACAATTTCATTGAAATAACCTGACTATAAAGCGAGAAAAAAAGACCCATAAAAATAGAAGAAATCTATCCGTTAAAAAAAGGTTTAGACCCTGAAGATGATACTTTATAGGACTTTTTCGATTTGTTTGTTCCAGTGAGTCTGAAAAAAAATATTCATATTCTCTTTTGGCAGTTTTCTGTCGATTTCAAGCCTCGTATATACCTCAAACGCCGAATCACTGAATCTGCTCAATGATTTCCTGGCTTGCTCTCGAATCTTATCCCTCTGACTTCGCCCCTCGCCCACAATTTTCAGAACTGTCTCCGCGTATTCTTCTCGTGTGATCGATAGATATCCAACACATTTTCCATCGAAATCCTTGACAATGTCCATTTTCGGACCGCCCGAATCGTTGGAAAGGATTACTGTAGACGCGGCCATCGCTTCGACAACTGAGATTCCGAAGTGCTCATTGTGCATAGTATGGATGGAGATTAGAGCCTTCTGGAATTCAAAAATTGATATTTTGTAGCCATTTTTTTCCCGGGACCAAAATACTAACCGATAACTCATCGATTAAATTTTCATAGGGAATATTCAATTCGAATCTTAATTCTTCCTCTATTCCTAATTCTTTTGCTTCTTTTTTCAATGTCTTCACTCGTAGCTCATCCTCTTCATTCCTACATCCACCAGCAATACACAACTCCACGTTGTATCCCTTCTTTTTAAGAGGTTCTTTAATATCATGAAGTACTTCCAATTGGAGCTTGTGATTCTTTTCTGGACGGATTTGACCAACCGACAGGAGGCGGACCGTTTTCTTTTCTTCTAGACTGAAAATATTGGGAATTTGAACATATTCTGAATAAACTGTTGTTGTACATTCTCTCAGCCACCGACTCAATCTTCATAAATTCCTCAACATCACATGGCGGATAGACGATACTCACATCGCGACGAGACCAAATGGCTGTGATGTGGCGTTGCGTCCAACTGTCAATTTCAGATTCATTAGAGGGAAGGTATTCATAGAAATCTAATAAGGTACAAAAATTACCTTCCATTGACCATCACGACATGAGCAGTTTTTCCCGCTAGCCAGTAAAGACATGCAAATAGACGGTAGTAGGCAAGCTGAAACGTTTTTACATACATATTTGAAAGTTAAAAAAAGGACTAACCTTTGCCCATGACAGGAAATTGCTTTGAGCAATAGTACTAGAGTTATTGAATGTTTGCTGCCGCGACTCGACAACATCTAACATATCGCATGAGATTGTCGGATAGTGAACATAAGCGACAACTTTGGATCCAGCCAAACGGAACGTCGGAAGTGACAATGGATATCCCATCGAATCAATGAATATTTCAGGCACCATTCGGATCCAAGCTTCAAGGGAGAGAACTAGTCCAGCTAGCGCTTGGAACAACATTGTGAAATGCGGATAGTGACGGGCTTCGACGAGAGTTCGCCAGCTGAAAAATTAGTAGTGGACGTTTTGGAGGCGCAAGAAGAAAACTCACTGCATATAGATAAAATGAACATTCGTTGGATCCAACTCAATTCCGAATCGTTGTCTTGCTTTCAGTAGAATCTGCTCCTTTGTCGCATCGGTATCTCCGGAGTATACATAGAATTTACGATCCGGGAACTTCTTCTGCATCGTCCGTATCGCCGCCCATAGCACTCGTTCACCACCGCCGCCAGCATTACAATATGGATGGAAGAACGCGACAGTTCTTGATTTTCTGAAAAAAAAAAGTTACGGTGATTGATGAAAAATAGATTGATAGCAAGAAAAATGTGTTTTTTTTTTCAATTTTTAGCAGAATAACTCAAACCTCCTTGTATCTGAAATCAGACGAAATGGGATAACGATGAGGGCGAAAAGCAAAGGGATCAAGTAGAGAATCGTTGTGATAGAGCTACAAATCGAACAGTCCGACGACATTTCATTTGAAAGATATTTTTTCTAAAAAAAGAGGAATTTGAACGTTTTGAAAGATAAAATATTCAAGGGGAAACAGACGATCGAAAAAATACAGTAAGAATGAAGGTAAAGGCGCACAGGCTTTTTGAGAACGGGATCTCGAAAGAAATGTCGGGAAACCGCAGGAACTTTTTAAAGGGAACCTTAGAATCTGAGATTT